GCATTTTCCGGCATCTGCGCTGGCGGAGTTGGAGGTAGGGAGGGCTCGGCGGAGGGCGGAAGGGGGGGAGGGCGGGGAGGAGGAGGATGCCAGGTTCTTGGCCACGGCCGAGGAAGAAGCGAGGGCTAGGGCATCGGGGAAATTTGTATTGCACACGACAAGGGAGGGCGAGGGGCAGGGGGAGGAGAAAGCGGCCGGGCAGGAAGATTTCGACCGAGCCAAGTGGTTGAAGTACCTGGAGAAAAAGCGGCGTCGACTCTGCGTCTTGGCGGAAGGGCGGAGATTGCTGATAGAGGGCGCCGACTGCTTGGTTGTGGCCAGCCGGCACGATCCTTCCGTTGTGGTCCCTCGCTTGCTCGCTTTCCTGGAGGACGGCGCGGCCTTCGCGGTCTACCATGAGTATCTCGAGCCTTTGGTGGCCTTATACGCCTCCTTGATGGAGGCCGGCATGCTACGACTGCAGATGCTGAGCACCTGGTGGCGCGAATACCAGATCTTGCCAGGCAGGTCGCACCCCCACATGAGTATGAGCAGTGACGGTGGGTACCTCTTGACTGGTATTAAGGTCAGTCAAGGCGAGGCAGGGCAAAGGGAGGGAGGAGGGGAGGAGGAGAGGCAGGGACAGGAGGGGGAGAAAAGTTCGGGGAAGGAAGGCGGCGGCAATAGGAAGAGGCACAGAAATCAAAGATAGCTGACAAAGAAAACAGAAACGTTGTATCAAGTAAGCACCTCACTTACACACCCGCATGATGTAGCTATCCGTTTTTTGGGACCTACTTCGTTCTTCGTCCGTGCGATATAACTTGATTAAGTGCTTCACTTACTCGATTTTCAATGTGATCATTTTATGTATACAAAAAACCAAGCTAACTGCGAGTACAGCATGCACAGGGGAACGGAGACTCTTGTCCTTTGCTTTTACCTCCTCCCCCCTTGCTTGCTTGGAAAGGCGACGTCACTCGCATGCTCATCTGCCTATTTATGGGGCCCGAAAGTCACGATTAGTGCATGCATGTGTTGTTGGCTGGACAAGCGATGTACTAGCACGCCGTAGTATCGTTTTCCTAGAATAACATGTCCTCTTTTTCTGTGCTCAAAATCACAACTCCGACAGGAGATGCCACCTGCCACAAATCAAGTAAGTTCACCACGGAGGTCAAGAGAGCCTCTATGGAGCTTTATTGCTGCACACGCCATCTTGTGCATAAATCCAGCCAGGGCATTCCTGACGCCAACCTCTGCCATCGGCTCTCTTCCTTGTTCAACCTCATCGCCCTCTCCCTTCGTCTCGCAAGCACGACCCTTTCCCGCCGGCAAACTCTGGTCACAGTGCCCGCCCACTTCACGCACATCTCCCACAAATAATGCCATCGAAATTCGTCAGCCCCTCCTTCTTCCTGCGGCGGCACACTCACGCGACAGTTTCCTCCGCTTTCTGCCGCGACCCCCGCCCTCCCTCTCCCCACCTCCCTCTCCTGCCTCCCACCACATCCGCCGCATGTCCTTAAGCGACCTCTCGGCCGTCGTGCTCCTAGCTGCACGTGAATTCACCCCTTTAAATGAATTAGCGGAATACGGAGGCACCCCGTCCGGGGGCCTCGTGGAGGAGTTCGAAGCCTGGGGGCTGCGGCAGAAAGTCCGATGGGGCATGCTGGCTAGATATTTATACCCGGACGACCACGAGGTGCTCTTGCTGGTGGAGGGCGAGGAGGGGGTATACAGAGGAAAGCGAGGGAAGGAGGCAAGGGAGGGCGGAGGGGAGGGAGGCGCGGCGGGTCTTCTTGGGATGGTCGAGCTCTCCCTGCAGCCCACGACGGGGCTGCCCCCCCCCCTCTTCCCCCTCTCCCCAGCCGTCAAGGGCCTCTTCGCCCTGCTGGGTTGGCCTCTGCAGCCCTACATCTCCAATTTGCTCGTGGACGTGACAGTCCGGCGCCAGGGCCACGCGGCGCGTTTGCTGGCCGTGGCCGAAGCCGAGGCCCGGGCCCGGGGCCACTCTTGGGTCTACCTGCACGCCGACAGCGACTACCTCCCGGCCGTGCGTCTCTACGAACGTCTGGGCTACCGAGACGTGGGCAGGGGGAGGGCGTGGGTGGATAGGTGGACGGGTCTTCGCTTGCGGTACATGCGGAAAGAACTGTGAGCGGGGAGGGAGGGAGGGGGGCCTCCCCCGTTGACCCAACTGTGCATAACGGGCGTCATCGTAAAGAACGAAGCAATCCATTCGGACAAAGATCGTGAGGGACAGGATGGAATTGTAGCGTGGAGTCTTTGGTATCTAGCACTTCCTCCTCGACCACGTCCTTCTTTCGCCCGCCCCCCACGGCTGGGGGCACCCCCCTCTCGCCCTCCCTCCCCCAATCCTCGCTGTCTCTGCCTCTATGTGTACAGTGCTACCCTTTTCCCTCCACGTCCCCCTCCTTA